GTGGGACCTGAGGGCCCCGCCCCGGGTCCCAGCTCCGGAGACGGGCAAGGGCGCCCCTGCTTCACCTTGAAGCCGGAGGATGGCAGGCCATACCGCGGATGCCAGGCTCCACAGAGCCTCCTTCCGACCCCTGGCACTGTTTGAAGACGCCCTGCGATTCTCACCGAGTCGTGGAACCTCGTTTTCCAAGACTAGTCTTCGGCTTCTTTTTTTTTTCCTTTGAGTTGCAGTCTCACTCCGTCGCCCAGACTGGAGTGCAGTGGCCGCTCCCGGCCACCGCAGCCTCGACCCGCTGGGCTGCGGCGATCCTTCCGCCTCAGCCGTCCAGGTAGCTGGAACTACAGGCGCGCGCTAGCACGCCCGGCTCATTTTGATTTATTGTAGAGTTGAGGTCTCGCCAAGTTGCCCAGGTGGGTCTCGAACCCGCGGGCTCAGGCAATCCACTCACCTCGGCCTCCCAAAGCGCGGGATTACAGGCTGAGCTACCGAGCCCGGCCTAGTCTTTGGCTTCTAAACTTGGGATCCGCCCCTCTCCCTGAGACTTTTTTCCACCCCGAGCCCCGCCCCAGCCAGAGGCTGGAGGAGCCACAGCAGGAGGAGGCCATGAGCGTCACCACAAGCAGTCAAGCCACCTGGGTGGATGGCGCGCAGTAGAACCGCCCCAAGGACCCACAGGGATAACCTCTCCGGCCCAGGGACAGCGAATTGGGTCCCAGAGACGGGGAACAGGACGCAGCGCCCGGGTGCCTGGAAGAAAAGGAGGGAACGGGGCATTCAGAGGCAGGAAAGAGGGCGGAGCGCCCGGGTGCCTGGAGGAACCAGATGAGGTGGGACGGAGCACCTGGGAACTGTGGGGAACCACAGGGGGCAGGACCTTTAGGGGCGGTGAGGGCGGAGCATGAAGATTGGAAGAGGTATCCAGGAGTTGCTGAGGGCAGGAGAACCTGCAGATATTAAGGGACCTGTAGAAGCAGAGCCCATTTGTAAGGGACCTGGAGAGACCGTAGGGACCGGGCCTCCGAGGACCCTGAGTTGGCTGTATAAAGGATGCAGGACAGCCGGCCGCGGTGGCTCACGCCTGTAATCTCAGCACTTTGGGAGGTTGAGGATTGCCTGAGCCCACGGGCTCGAGACCAGACTGGGCAACTTGGCAAGACCTCATCTCTACAATAAACCAAAAAATATGCCGGGTGTGGTGGCCCACGCCTGTGGTTCCAGCTACTTGGAAGGCTGAGGCGGAAGGATTGCCTAAGCTCAGCAGGTAGAGCCTGCGGTGGCCACGAGCACGCTCTAGCCTGGGCAACTTAGACTCTGACCAAACAAAAAAAAAAAAAACAAAAAACAGAGTCGGCCAGGCGAGGTGGCTCATGTCTATAATTCCAGCACTTTGGGAGGTTGAGGTGAGAGGACTGCCTTAGTCCGCGGGTTCGAGACCAGCTTGGGCAACTTGGCGAGACCGCATCTCAATCAATAAAGCAAGCCGGCTCAGTGGCTCAGCCTGTAATCCGGTGCCTTTGGGAGGTTGAGGTGAGTGGATGGCCTGAGCCCACGGATTCGAGACCCGCCTGGGCAACTTGGCGAGACCTCATCTCTACAACAAATTTTAAAAATGAGCCGGGCGTGGTAGCGCGCGCCTGTAGTTCCAGCTACTTGGAAGGCTGAGGCGGAAGGATCGCTGGACCCCAGCGGGTCGAGGCTGCGGTGCTGCGGCAGCCGGAAGCATGCCACTGCCCTCCAGTCTGGATGACAGACTCCAACTCAAAAAAAAAAAAAAGAGGCAGGGCCTGAGGAACCTTAAGAGGGCAGCGTGAGGTATAGCAAGAGGGTGGGGCTGGGAACCACCTGGGTATGTGGAACCTAAGTCCTCAAGGTGGAGCCTGCGGACTCAGGGAAGGGGAGGGGAATGGCGGAGCTGCGGGGGCGGTACTTGACAGGAGCAGTGCGGGACCTGGAAATACAGGCGGTATGAGGCCTAGGGGGACGGACCTGAAGGAGGTGGTGGCACCAAAATACAAGAAGGGTCGCAGCCTGGGATACTCTGAGTTTGATTGGCACCCCGGCCTCACAGAGCTTACTTGCTGGTGCTGCTGGACTGCCTGTTGAGCCACGGGTTCGAGGCTGGGGCCCTGCCGCCACTCTGCCCTCTCCAGGGCCCTTCCTCAAGTGACCACTCAGACCACTTTGCTGTGAATCGACCACACAGGTGTCGCAGCTGTCACCACTGAGGACCACCAGGTCTGTTATGGCCTTTGCATCCCCGTGGACCAGTTATATACTGGAGAAAGGACGTTTCCATCTCTTTGCAATGGCTTGCAGGAAAGGGAGTTTTTATGTCTCCCATGAGGTCATTTGTCACTGGAGCAGTGTGCAAACAGTTGGCTCTTCAGGAAGCTTTTGCTTTTCCTGTGACACTTGCACCCCAGTGAAGATGTTAGCCCCATTTATATAGAGGTCTGCACACAGGTGATAGTGTTTGGGGCCAATGTCCACCCATAAAAACCTTTTTCTTTGTTTTAGTAGGAGTCTCACTCTGTTGCCCAGCCTAGAGTGCAGTGGCCACTCCCGGCCACCGCAGCCTCAACCTGCTGAGCTCAGGTGATCCTTCCACGTCAGCCTTCCAAGGAGCTGGAAACACAGGTGCATGCCACCACAACCAGCTAATTATTTGATTTATTGTAGAGATGAGGTCTCACCAAGCAACCCAGGCTGGTCTCAAACCCATGGGCTCAGGCAATCCTCTTGCCTCCACCTCCCAAAGTGATGGGATTACAGGTACAAGCCACCATGCCCTGTGTAAAAACTTTTCGTAACTCCTCCACCTCAAAATGAAAACTCATTTCAGGTTATTTTGTGGTAGTCCCTAGAAGGGGCTCCTTGTGAGGTCAGGTTTCCCAGTCTTGGTGTGCATGGGGGTCTGGGGTGCAATGTGCAGAACTACCCCCAACCCTTAGCAATCCTTTTGCTCACTCACTTCTTTTTCCTGTTTCTCTGTCTGCTTATAACTCATCACTTTGCCCACACACACCTTCACTCATTCTCCATTACTGCTCATTCATTCCAAAAAACATTTACAAGTTAGCCAGGTGTGGTTCACGCCTGTAATCCCAGCACTTTGGGAGGCCAAGGCGAGAGCGTTGCCTGAGCCCAGAGGTTTGAGATCAGCCTGGGCAACTTGGCACGACCTCGTCTCTACAATCAATCAAGAAAAATTAGCCGTCCATTGCTTTACTAAACTCTGGTGTGGCCATGTGCAATTTGAGCCATGGCCGCCACCATGTTTCCTAAGTTTTGGCCCCCTCTCCTACCTTGGAAAGGTGAATGTCCTCTCTAGTTTACTTTCTAAATAAACTCTTTTCTAATGTAAAAAAAATAGCCAAGCGTGGTGGTACATGCCTGTAGTTCCAGCTACTTGTAAGGCTGAGGCGGGATTGCCTGAACCCAGCAGGTTGAGGTTGAGATGGCCGTGAACATGCCACTGGGTGACAAGAGTGAGACTCTGACTCAAAACAAAAAACTTTACTGCTGCCCACCTGCTGTGGGACTCCAAGTCCTAGGGCTTCCAGGTCCTTGAAGAGGGCCGTGTCCCTTGGCCTGAGGAGAGATTCCCCCCGACCCCAGGTGCTTCAAGGAGTACATACACAGGCATTTCAAAACTGGCTTTAAATACTTATCAGGGTGCCACACAAAGGAGCTGGGGTGAGAGCTTGTTACATGTTGAGTATGGGGCTGGGGTGCCCTGAGAGAAAAAGGGGACCCATCTGTCAGGGCAGCTGGGGTGCCCCACCCCCACCCTGGGAGAAGGGAGCAGAGTAGAAGCCCTCTTTGGAGTCCCAGGGCGAACTGGGAGCCAGCCCTCCCTTCGAGGTAGATCATCGGGGAGGGAACTGAGGAGCAGCTCCCATGGTGGCGGCGTCCGTCGTTTGCTCAGTGGTATTGCTGATAGCTGGGATAGCCTGGGGTTGGGGTGCCCTCCTTGGGGGGCAGCTGGCTGGGGTCCTCCAGGAACGGGGGTGCTAGAGAGGGGAGAAGCAGGTAAGGATGACTGGAGTGGGCTAGGCAGAGCTTTCCCTCCTCTCCCTGACTGTCCATCCGGTACTCACCATTTCGGAACTGCTGGGCCGTGTAGCGAGTGAGGAGGATGCCAACACCCTCAATCAGTGCCAACAGGATGCCCCCCATCATTGCTGAGCCCACCATGGCCAGTGGGCCACCTGGGAAAGTTGGGGCAGGGAGACAGAGGTGAGGGCAGACAGAACAGGGTGGAAGGGACTAGGGCCAGGGCTGGGACCACGGGCGGGGACACTCACTGCGGGCAGCCAGCACAGCCCCAGTCAGTGCCCCACTGGTGATGGAGTTCCAGGGATCTTCCTTGCCCCGCAGACGCACCAGCCCACAGTCGATGGTAGAGAACAGGCCCCCCCACACAGCAAAGCTGCCTGTAGTGAGACCAAGGCCTAATTAGTATTCTTGGAAAATCCCAAGAATCCACATCTCTGTGGTCTGGAGACTTCCAAGGCCCAAATGCTGTGGTCAAGAATAGGGAGAAAAACCCAGACACAAAGGCAGATAGAAAACTTCCAGGGACTCTTCCCCATCTGTCCCCATCTTGGGGTAGCGCCCACATCAAGCCTTCTATCATCACTATTCACATTCCCTTCACCTTTATAGGGAGTTGGCAAATGTTCACAAGCAGATTTAGCTTTACATGGCTTTTAGCAGAGCAACTGTGATCTTCACAATCACCACAAAGAGTTGGAATTCTGATTTTGGTTTGAGTGAGAAGGAAATAACCTAGGAAAGCCAGTTAATATGACAGTTAAAATGTTTACTGAGGGCTTACTGTGTGCCAGGACCTGAGGTACTGTGTTATTTGACTTCAGCAATTTGTTTTTTGTTTTTTTTTTTTGAGTTGGAGTCTCATCAGTCGCCCAGACTGGAGTGCTGTGGCCGCTCCCGGCCACCGCAGCCTCAACCTGCTGGGCTCCGGCGATCCTTCCACCTCAGCCTTCTGTGTAGCCGGAATTACTGGTGCGCACTACCACGCCCAGCTAATTTTTTGATTTTATTGTAGAGATGAGGTCTCACCTGCCTAGGCGGGTCTCGAACCCGCGGGCTCAGGCAATCCACTCACCTCAGCCTCCCAAAGGCGCGGGATTACAGGCTGAGCCACCGAGCCCGGCTGACTTCTGCAATTTTAAATTAATGTTATTAAAGTATTTAACATAGCAAACAGCACTTAAGATATGTAAATTACATACACTAGAAAACTGGTGAGGTGGTCATTATCATCACCCCATGTTACAGATGAGATTCAGAGAGGTAAAGCCTCTCAAGGTCACACAGCAGGGAAGAGTCAGGACCTGGATTTAAACTCCAGAGCCCACCTTCTTCCCCTCTATATTAAATTGCTGGGAAATATCACCCCCCTGAGAAGTCCCAGGCAGAGTTAGGGCTAGAATCTGGACCCTCAAGTTGCAGTTTGGACCCAAAGGATCAACCACTCCTAACTTTGCCATCATATCTCCTATATCTTCCCAAAGACCTCACCTCCAATCTGCGGGGCTCGGATCCTCACAGCGTTAACACTACCTCTCAACCGGTGACGGATTCCCTGGGGAAAGTAAGGAAGCGGGTCAGGGCAGGGTTGAAACCACTAGCAGATAGGGTTTCTAGCTTTTAAAAGGGAAGGAGATGGGACACCTGTTAGGGGTATCAGGGGTAGAGAAGCAGCTGAGAACTAGGGGGCTGGAGAACACCTGAACATCGGTGTACTCAGAGCTGGTTTGAGAAGTTCCAATTCACTCATTTGTTTGATCATTCATTCATTCAATAAATGATTAGTGAGCATCAACTATATGCCAGAAACCAGGTTACATGCAGGGATACAGCAGTGAACAAGGAACATCTGGTCCCTGCCTTCTCAGAGCTCACATTATAGTGGGAGATATACATCCTGAGCAAGGGTGTAGGTAAACAAGGTAGCTTCAAACAGCAATATGTACTCTAGAGGATATAGAATAAAGAAATATGATGGTAGCCAGGTGTGGTGGTGAGACGACTGCCTGAGTCCAGAGGTTTGAGACCAGCCTGGGCAACTTGGCGAGCCCTCATCCCTACAATAAAAAAAAAAAAAAAATAGTCAAGCATGGTAGCGCATGTCTGTGGTCCCAACTACTTAGAAGGCTGAAGTGGATGAGGTGGAAGGATCACCTGAGCCCAGCAGGTCGAGGCTGTGGTGGCCGTGAGCGTGCCACTGCACTCCAAGCCTGGGCAACAGTGAGACTCCAACTCAAAAAAAAAAAAAGAAAAGAAAAGTGATGGTGGCTGAGGGGTCAGGAGAGCCCTCTTGAAGGAAGAGTCAATTGTGCTGAGACCTCGAAGATGAGAAACTAGGGCAAAGATCCAAGAAAAAGAGTTCCAAGGAGTAAAGGGAATGGAAAGGGCTAGCAAATGGAGACCTAGCAAATGAATGGAATTTAAAGCTATGACATTTGATGAGATCTTCTGGGGCTGATGGGTGGGTCAGAGAGACAGGATGTATCATATTAAACAAATTTTCTCAACTTTAAGGCTGTCCTCCCTCTGCCAATTAAACTCCTGTCATTTCAATCTATCCAAGTTTCTTTCTTTTTATTTTTAAGTCGGGGTCTCACTCTGTCACCCAGGCTGGAGTGTAGTGGCATGATCATGACTCACCACAGCCTTGACGTTCTGGGCTCAGGTGATCCTCCCACCTCAGCCTCCTGAGTACCTGGGACTATGGGCACGTGCCACCATGCCTCCTGCCTCAGACTCTCAAAGTTGCTGTTTCAGGAGTGAGCTACCATGCGGTCTATCCAGGTTTCTGAGCCAGAATCTGCCTCTAGGTAAAATCTGTCTGGTTTTGCACACATATTTAAGATTTGGTGATGGGTGTTTTTTGTTTTTTTTTGAGTTGGAGTCTCACGCTGTCGCCCAGACTGGAGTGCAGTGGCCACTCCCGACCACCGCAGCCTTGACCTGCTGGGCTCTGGCGATCCTTCCACCTCAGCCTTCTAAGTAGCTGGAACTACAGGCACGCGCTACCTCGCCTGGCTAATTTTTGATTTATTGTAGAGATGAGGCCTCGCCAAGTTGCTCGGGCGGGTCAAGAATGATGACTGTTTTGACAACACAGAATTTCCATCGAGAAACTCCCGTTGGGTGGAATGGGGAATTCCATTTGCAATTCCCCCAAAACTCCAGGTCCAGGAGCCAGGCCTAGCACATAGTAGGTGAGCAGGCACCAGTATGGGTAAGTGCACGTAACTGGCAGCTCCAAGCAGTTTTCAGAGCAGTATCCCTTATGGGCAAGGTAGCTGACCCCCACACCAATCAGGGAAGGCCAGGACTCACAACAGGGGCATTGCGGAAGCCCTTGATGGCCTGGAAGACTCCACCACCGATGACACCCATAGTGAAGGCTCCACCGCAATCATCCACAATTCGCCATGGGCTGCAAGTGGGAATGGAAGGAAAGGATAGGGTTACTGGGAGTCCTCCCCCAGGCCCAGTCACAGGGACTCTTTCCAACTGGGAGAAAACCAAGTCACCTGAATGGGAAGTCCATGAGTGGGAAGAAACACTTCAGATAATGAGCTAGTCCTGTCGGGCTTTCCCCACCGCGTTAAAGTGAGAAATGGGGCGAAGGGGTGAAATATTAGTCTTTGCCCTGTCCATCCCTCCTCTTCAAAACCAACAGTTTTACTATCAAAGATTAAATGGACTGATAAATGCAAAGAGTTGACACGTTTCAATAAGCGCTATACAAGCTTTAACTAGCTAGTATTGCTACTAAAGACCAGTTGCACCCCTTCTTCGACAATGAGCACGTCCAACCAAGCCCCGCCCCCTTTCAACCCAGCACAAGTGGGAAGAACCAAGAGCAGACCGTGGGGAGGACCCATCACCGCCCCCTGCCCTCAATAGGCTCAACCGTGCCCCGCCCCCACTAACGAACGCGACGTGGGCACAATCACGCGTGGTAACTCCAGGGAAATCCGCTCAACACCGCACCCCCCCCCCAGGCAGAATGGATTCGACCAACGTGTCTCTTGTTAACGAAGAGGGGCTACGATTACGAAGTCAGAGGAAACGTGGCGTGGTTCGTCCTTCATCGCACCTTCTCCAGGCACAAAGTTGTGGCCTCCCCTCTTAACGGAGCCCGAGTGGGAGGAACCAAGTGGGGAGGAGCGGAAGGAGATACATTTCTAAAAGACCCCCGAGTCTGGGACATGGCACTGTGTGGCCGGTGCCTCTCCCGCCCGCCTCCCACGGCTGGCCTTGGCGCCACAGCAACAGCCCCAATGCCTAAGCCCATCGCCGTACCAAGGCTCCCGAGCGTATTCCTCCATGGCGCCGGCGTCTTGCCGCGCAGTCTCAGGCAGTACCTCAGGTTGACCACGCCCCCAGCGTAAACGCACACAGGCGCCCGAGCGGTCCACCGTTTCCAGGATAATGATTGGGTCGTTACGTCCTACGTCAGGCTTAGAACGCACTCTCATTGGCCACCTAGGCTTGCGTCGTTTGTTCCCTGCAGCCAGAGCGTAGCCCAGTTTCCTGTAGGCTTGGGGGAGAGAAGACCTCGTTCTGTGCTTTGGGAGAAGAGAGTCGTGTGGTCCTGGTGACCATAGCGTCCATAAGAGAGGCAGCCGGTCTGACAGTCTTTCCATTACCTGCACGACTGTATTGGTAACGCCGGGGTGGGTGCATTTCTTTGGAGCTGAAGGAAGTGCTGCACTGTACTCCCCCATCCCGGCGCTTTGGTTCCTCCCACCCGGCAGTCTTTGGGGGACATTGGGTGAGCCCATCTCTAAGGCGTAGGGGAGCTGTGCTTGACCCTTCGGCGGTGGGCGGACCCTGGGCCTGGGAGAGCCTGGGCCCGGGCACCCGGTCTGAAGAGGAGGGTTAGTGAGCGTTTTGGTGTTATTACTTCCTGTCTCTTCCGTCCTTTAGTGCGTATGTTCCGTCCGTCCAGCTATTGATGCATTTGGGTAGGTGGAGATCAGATGTGTGCACGCTGAGGGGAGGCGCTTGGCTACAGAATCCAGATTTGAATCCTCATATGAGCTCGATTTCAATCTGTTTGTCCATAGGTCTGTCTGCTATCAGTTATGCCGCTGCCCGTTGCACTGCAGACCCGCCTGGCCAAGAGAGGCATCCTCAAACATCTGGAGCCTGGTGAGACAGCAAGAGCTAATGGGTGTACCACGTGCCAGGCTTGACAGGCACTTTGTTGTTGATATTGACGCCTGATACCTAGCGTGGACCTACTGAACACCAAGCAATGGGGTGGCAGGCATTTCTTCTTTTTTTCTTTTTTGAGTTGGATTCTCACTCCAGACTGGAGTGCAGTGGCACGCTTCTGGCCACTACAGCCTTGCCCTGCTGGGCTCTGGCGATCCTTCCGCCTCAGCCTTCCAAGTAGCCAGAACTACAGGCGTGCGCAATCACGCCCGGCTAATTTTTGATTTATTGTAGAGACGAGGTCTCGCCAAGTTGCTCGGGCGGGTGGCAGGCATTTCATTGTTAACAATAGGGATTCCTGACATCCATCCCTACCGTGTGCAGCACACTGTGTGTGGGGTGGAAGGGGGTTGGGCTAGATATTTTATCCTTTTATGGTAGTTTTGGGCCTACTGTATGCTAGGGTCAATCCATGGATCAATCAATCCATGGGTATGATTACAGAGTATTTAATAGGAAGGATTGCTGACATCTGTCTCCTGTGTGCCAGGTACAGTAGCAGTATGTTATATTTTATGTTGTTAATCATACTAATAGACACTATGTATTTCAGAGGTACCGGGGTGATGGGCACTTTAATGGTGACAGACAACTTATTGTTTACCTTACCAATACCTAATGTGTATTTTGGGCCTCCCTAAGTGCCTACCATACACGCTATAGTTAATGGTATGAAATGATAGCCATTTTGACTGGGCTCAGTGGCTCAGCCTATAATCCCAGCACTCTGGCAGACCAAGGTGAGTGGATTGCCTGAGCCCGTGGGTTCGAGACCAGCCCTGGCAACTTGGTGAGACCTAATCTCTACAATAAATCCAAAATTAGCTGGGTGTAATAGCGTGCGCCTGTAATTCCGGCTGCTTGGAAGGCTGAGGCGGAAGGATCACTGGAGCCCAGCAGGTCGACGCTTGCATGGCCATGAATGTGCCACTGCACTCCAGCCTGGGCAATGGAGTGAGACTCCGACTCAAAATATATTAAAATGATAGCCATTTTATACTATCAGGATCTGTCATTTAGGCCGTCTGTGTTGCTGACTACTAATTACACCTTAATGTCAATAATACTAAAAAGCCGGGCTCGGTGGCTCAGCCTGTAATCCTGCGCCTTGGGAGGCTGAGGTGAGTGGATTGCCTGAGCCCGCAGGTTCGAGACCCGCCTGGGCAACTTGACGAGACCTCATCTCTACAATAAATCAAAAAATTAGCAAGGCGTGGTAGCG